ATGCAATGGTATGTTTTTGAAAAATATATAATTTTTCATTATGCCAGAAAAATGACTAAAGGAGTATTTAAAGCACTAAGGCAAAAATGATGATGGCGGCCAAGTATTTCGACAATTGTGCTATATGAGCATATGTTTCAAATACATCTAGTGGCACGCTTTTGTATCTTCAGCAGTTCATATTAGTAGAGAAAAAGTTCTTTTCTCTTAACCATCTAAAAATGTTCTTTAAATCCACTCGCGGTACATTTCGCGAGCTTGTCTGAGTATCTTTTTAAAAGAATATGTTTTAAACGGTCAGGAGAAAAGAATTTTTACGTCTTTGTTTTGACATGAGTAGCTAGTATTGAGTGATGTGCAGTTTTTAAGCGGAAAACTGAAAAGGTTGATTTGTGAAAAGAAGGAGAAAAATGTCTTTTTCCATACATTTGACCTATTTTCCAGCTATTTTCACAAAATTAAATTGTTTTCTCTACTAATATGAACTGCTGAAGCCCATGACTTGAAGGATTATAAGCATTTTCCACGTTTTTTGGCTTGGAAATGACTTTTTGAGCGGAAAATGTTAGTTTGAAGCGATTATTTTTTTTAGATTTGAAATGCTCATTCACTTCTGAGTATATCTGGGTGATTTTGGAGGTTTTCAAATTATATATATAACCAATCTTGTTTGGGCGAAAATCAATTTTCTTCAATTTTCGACCTAATATTCGGAATCAGCATGGAATTCTGATTCGAATGGGTATATTTTGTCAAAATCTGAGAAAAAAATTTTTCCTTATCCCTGAGGAAAAGATAAGGAAGAAAAATTTTCGAAAAAATCGAAAGTGACTTGGCCAGGCTAAGAAATATCTCATTTTGTTCGCTAATTCCGAATATAGGATTTCTTTTTTGCAAGATACTGACGGCAAAAAACTGACCTTACTCGGCCTCATCCTTTGAATTATTAATAATCAGTAGTGACAAACGTCTCATTAAGGTTCACCCACAATACAATATACTTTGTATTATTGATACCTAGGAAATATTCAACATAATGACATTATGTAGTGGTGCAGATCGTACATTGAAAGAAATAAAATCAAAATATTTTAGTATTACTCAAGAATGTGTTGAAATTTATATGAAAGTTTGTGAAGAATGTTCAAGAAACCAATCCATAAATTTTGTAAAAGCGATCCCAAATCCAATACGGTTACATCATATTTCAGACATCAGTTGCCTACATAATTTATTAAGTGATTATATCCTAGGAGAAATTTCAATGCCATATACCTAAATTCTCTGAACACTATCAGGGAATGTATGGGTTCCGCAGGGAACGTGAATATTTCTGATTTCCTACATTCCTGGTAACATCTATAATTATTACTTGTGGATAAAGAAAATGTATTTTGTTTAAAGAACAGTTCAATAACGAAAATTAAGAAGTTAAAAACAATGAGTCAGCCATTTTCCAGAGCACACTCATTAACGTCATCTGATAATTATTGTTCGTGTTGCTCTGTTCTTGGCAAGCAAAACCAAGAGCAAAGAAAACATCATCATCTCATCTTGTTAAGCAGTATTCCTCATAGTACAGTTTGAACAAAAATTAATCAAATATTTTTTTTCACTCAAATTTCGTTCAAACACCGCCGCGTATGTTAAAAACCATGAGGAATCCGATGAAAATACTTTGCAGTCCCCTAGAGGATTTCTGGCAACCTTTCACTAAAAGAATTCTGCGAATCAGTCAGATTATAAGTTTCTGCACGTTATAAGTTCGCACGTAATTTTAAAAAAATTATTACGTCCGGTAGACTGCTAAAGAGAATAAAATCTCTGTAGACTGCTACATAGCTACAGTCACTTTTTCATAAGTTTTGTATCAGAGAATCTCATTTTAGTCGTTTCAATGTTTTTCTTATACTCAATCATGTCATGGTGATGGGGCCTCAAAGTGCTTAGCCCAATGTTGTAGGCAGTTTGAAAGTTTGTCAATGCTGATTGCAAATTTCCGTTTTTCAAATGAACAAGACCAATATCATTGTGACGTTTAGCAAGATCTGGATGCGTTGGTGGCAATGATGTTGTGGAGACCGCAAGAGCCTTCGTGTAATAGTCTAGAGATTTTCTTAGATCACCTTTTTCTTTATAAGCCGCTCCCATTTGACTATAAGTGGTTCCTACAGAGCAGTGGTCTGAAGGTAAAGAGGTCAGTTTTATCTCAAGTGCCTTCGTATGATTTACGAGAGCCGCCTCATAATCACGGTTTAAGTGATGAATCTGTCCTATTTGGTTATAAACTGGTGCCAATAATAGATGATCTGGCTTTAGAGAATGAGAGTAAATCTCAATCGCCTTATTCAAACACATGTTAGCCATACTACGGTTGAATAAACTGAGGTAAGCTGCACTCATATTGTTGTACGTTGCTCCAATTTGTGGATGATATTCATCACGTGTCCTCGAGTAAGCTTCAAGTGCTAATGTATAGTACTGTAGAGCTTCCTCATAATTGCCTTTATCCTTATACAGTAGTCCGAGATTATTATAAATAGTACCAATATCACCATGATTTGATGGTAGTTGCTTGAGAAGCATCTGATAAAATCGTTCAGATTTATCATACTCGCCTTGTCTATAAAGGAACCATCCTAATGTCAAAAGAGTTGGAGATTTACCAATTTGTTTTTTCAAATGAGCTGTTAATTTTTCTATTCGTTGATCGCGCTCACCGCTTAAAACCAGTTTTACAATGAAAATCTGATTTTCTATTTGTTCAACAGCTTCTACTCGAAATATTGTTCCAATTGAAAATAAAACTTCTTCTTCATCATCAAACTTGGAATGTTGATTAATATTACAAAATGGTTTACTTTTAGTGTTCACGTCAGCTTGTATTTCAAACAATATTGACTTTACTATTGAATTACATGATCTATCAGATCCAGCGTATGTCAAAGCAAGTTCTCGATGAAGTGTTGTACTTAAAAACGTGTTCATTGATATTAGTCCACCAACACTTTTCTTTAATTTTTCAAAGTCAACAGTGGACATCGTTTGTCCTCGATAAACAGTTAAAGATGGAGGGATGTCTGGTTCGAACAATTGACGATACTGGCGATATAATTTACATAATTGTTTATGAAGGTCAGCAATAAAAAATCGAAATTTAAAAATAGCATCAATATCTTGAGTACGGAGTGCTTTATTTAATAAACGATAAACGAAGCAGTCACTTGTGTACCACCAAATGGCTTTCTCAGATTTATAATCTTTCTCAAATTCATCGATTTTTGCCATTTCAGATGGATTATCTTTATAATATAGTCGACATTCTTCTAACATTTCATGTTTAGCTGAATCTGTCTGAGTAGCAGGCATGAGAAGCAAAATATGAATTAAAAAATGATACCACATAAATGTAGCGAGATGCTCGTTACTTAAATCTTGCAGTGAATGCTCATCACTCGTTTCGGGTGAAATTATACTCATTGGTAACAGTTCTTTTGAACAGAATTTAATGTCCTCTTTTAATTTTGTCAATAATAATTGTTTATCAACATAAACACCACTAATTTTATAATATTGTTTTATCCATTTTGATTGTCTTGCTTTATTACCGCAAAAGACATAAATCGAATGTATTTGTGGAAGATCATAAATTAATGGAACAACCATTTCTCCCATAGGACCAGATACAATTAAAAATATTTTTTCAGTCTGAATATTTGTCATGTAATCAACACATTCATCAGCAATTGTAAATGTTTTCAAATAACTAATTTGTTGGCGTAATTTAGCTTTTGTATCAATACAATCTTTTGTTTTATTAATATCAACATCCAACCAAATCACAGTAAAATCTTCTAAATTTTGCTCGACTTTAATCTGTGTTCCCATATTAAAAAAAATGTCAAACAGTTTTTACTGAAGTTGTTTAAAACTAATTAATTTTGCTACAATCATGTCATGTGTCTCTCCTCATTAATAATCAGAGTCTATACCTATCGTTAATAGTATTTTTTCTGTAGCAGTCATCTGATAGAAACACTTTTTCTTCGCTTATTGCTTCAAAAAGTAACATTGATGTAGAGTAAGGCAACTATTTATAATTCAATACTGTGGCTACAGAAAAGAAAAAGTGTCTGTGTGTAGAACAAGCAAAACACTTTCTGCCAGAATCAAGATATAAATTGTAGGCAAATATTGACACAATAAAAAATATACTTTCTATACATCATCGAACCACGTTGCAGTTAGGTATGCAACAGTCTGATGCTTTTCTTTGCCTTTAGGCGCCCCCCACCCCACACACACACTCAGAAAAAAACTTTTTTGTCCTACGTCCGATTTTAATGCCACTTTCAGCAAATATTTGCATCATCAAAGTGTACTTATACAAATTTTTTTCCTCGCCATCTCTTACCATTCCGGGGTTTTCCAGAGTCCAAGGTGAAAAACCCACTCTCCACTGCAGGGCACTATTTTTAAATATACTTCAAGCTAGAGATCTCGGGTTGGTTTGATTCTAAAGTAGACAACTAATTGGGTGGGCTGATGGGACCAGATTTTTGATTTAGGTCTTCGTTCGTTTTCTAAAGATCCAAGATTCTCGAAAATCGAAAAACTCCTTTCGGGCTTTCCCAAGATGCTTGATTTTCTAGAAAACTATGATCATCGGATACCGATATCAACAGTAGCATCGCGCTTATAATCGTTTTCCTGTATCCAACGATAAAATAGGAATTCTTCCATATTTTTCTCGCGCGAGAATGAGTTCGTCCAAATTTTCTTGGTACTGTACAAATAATTATGACATTCTATGTTGTCCTCGTTGCAAACGCGCGACTTATTTGTCAGCGTGATGTACTAAAACTCTCCGAACTGTACTCTTCTCCGTAATTAATTGTCACTTAATAGATCATGCGCATTAATGCTATGATTCATACGACTTATTGTAGTCCTATCCAATATCATTTCTATCGCTTCGACATATAAAGATTTATATGAATATAATCGAACATCTATCTCATTACTTTGACATATACTCAACATTCTATATTTATATGTTCGAACTTATAATGATTATTTTGTTCACTATTGCTGATGCCATTTCGACGAATATGTCTATCGTTTAATATCTAACACACTTTTCATTCACAACTCACCGGCATTGCTAGTTTGAATTTCATTCAAATCAAGTAATATTATTCATTAAAAACTACTTAAGGGCCCTTCCTCAGAAAAAAGTTTTCACCGACGCAGTTTTTCAAATACACTGCAACTGTTATGAATACTGCTCGACATATCTGCATAATACTTTCAAAATCCTACAAAAAAAGACTAATATACCATTTTGATGTTAAAGATGATTATACATAACTAAAGTCCACTTCAAACTTAAATTGCTGATTTAATATGTGACGTGTACAACTAATTGAAATTTAGTTTTAAAAGGACATCAAATAGAATTGCATCTTCAGAGCCAATGATTTTTCACATTAACCAGTATTTGTATGTCATTTTCTGCAAGTTACATTTATTCTCCCTTTCAAACTTTCTAACAGTCGGTTTTGACAGTATCAACGACTTTCATTCACACAGTATCCACCTAACTCTTTTAGATTGATCACGGCGCAACTCTTTCCTTTAATCAACTTTGCTAATGCATCCTTTATACAGTTCTGCAGTGCATCAAAGGAATCACACATAATTAGCAGGTGCTATGGTAAACTTGAATTCTGCTCCTCTACAGTATACAAACATTCGACCGAAGGAAGTTGCAAGTGTATTCAATAATTTACACATACATTCTCTCTCCGTCTCTCTTTGCAACTGGCGCATTTGTAGAAACATGCATAACTCATAATCAAATGAAAAGTAGTTCTGTTTGTGTTAACGTCTAATTAATAATGATCGTCTATCTGTTTAATTTTCTTCTCTTCAATCTAATAAACTATATACATTTCTTATTCAGTAATGTCTTTCAAAAGAAAACGTAATTGTGAGCTATTAGAAGGTTTATCTGCAACGTTACCGACGTATGTCAGTCTAAGCAAGATAAAGGAAAAAATTATGCTATGGAGACCATCCAAACTTCAATATCACCGGACAAAAAACCGAAACTAATTGTTTTCTATTTTAATAAAACAGAAAACAACACATTACCTTACGCAACTGTAAAAAATTATGCTGCTTCGAAAACAAGCGCGGTAATTACTGGCTTAGCTATCAATAAAACCGGTGAGCTCGTACACTTTTTCTGCTGATTAAACTCTACTTTTCTATTAACAACATTATAAACACTTTCTCTATGTTTACCTTTTCCAGGAGACGGACACATTGTTGATACCAACACAACAACATTGGTCGAGGAAAACGTTCTGTTCCTCATACTCCACTTACACAGGAAACTGTTACAATTGATCAAATCAAGCATATTCCCTCCTCCTCACTCATTCGACTTAAAGCCAAAGTTCATTCGCGTCAGAACACCAAAATAGTAAAAAAATATAACATGACTTTAGACATGACAAAAATATGGCTAATGTTGTTTTAACTGATTGTACCATCGATTGCTCGTCCACATGTTCCAATACACCAATTGTTATGTCCATTATTGCAGGGCTCACTTGGTTTAAATGGAATTAAACCGAGCGCCTGGCATAAGCTAACGGTATTTTCAAAAGAATCTGTAAACCAGTACCAGTCGTATAATGTCATATCGTCGATAAGTGGTAAAGGATAAAATGCCATTCTGCACTGACACTTCCCATTTTATGTCAAAACTATGATTACTTCTCACTCCTAATTAATTATATATATGTCGCAATTCTGTGCAGGAAATGAAATTTAATCATTAGGACGATGTCGTTCTATACTTCGCGTCGTCTATAGTTTCTTAATATAATTGCTCTTTTTCCTTCCAATAAATTCTTTTTCCTTTCTGTTAGATATAATATGTGGTGTCTATTCTGTATAAGTACCGAAATTGATAACGAAGATGCACAACAAATGAGTAAACGGTATAAACAAGAGAATAGTCGCTATTCGGCATTTCTTTTCTTAATTTGCTTTTTTTTCTATTTTTCCGCATATAGGAGGCACTGCTTTGATCATGTCCTGTGTCAGTACCTAAATTTTTAACATGTTTGATCGATCCGATTTTCCAAATTCCAGTACAAAACCTTGTCTTTGAAGAGAATTTTGGAATTTGTTTTACTTTTGAAACACTGTGTCTCGACTCCCTCTATGTACATTGTATTATTTAACGAAACAACGCGATCAAATTCATTTCATCATATCTAACAGTATTAATCATTCCTTTTTTCTCTTTTTTCTTTTTTATGATTCTGTTTCTTTGCATCACTTGTTATTTACTTACATATTCTAGATAAATGCGCGCGTGGTAAAAATGGAATTATTATAAAAATATTTGGTTGGAAAAGTAAACTTTTTGCTCTCTTCGGCATAACGAACAAGGAAAGCCGAAGTATTAATTCCATTTCACACAAACTATCTGGACTTCATCAAATTATTACATTAAATCACCGAAAAGTCATTCTAATCGATCAAGTTACAATACAAGCGTAAAGGAACAACGATTCGCTTGACGTTAAGATGAATTCGAATGAATACAGAATCATTATTGAAAATGGCATCGTGTTGACTCTCGATGATGCTGATACTGTCTATTTTCCAGGTATAGTAGTCATTGAGAATGATCGAATCACACATGTCATCCAAGGCAGTTCGTTCGAAGGTGCGCGTCGTGATTCCGACGTCTTTATTGATGCTTCACGAAAACTCGTAATGCCTGGACTGGTCGATCTTCATTACCACACTGCAATAGCGAAAGGATGGAATGATCATATGCCATTGTGGGAATACTTAGATGCATGCTGGTATCCTGCTATTCGGGCATTAGATGACGATGCTTCCTACTGGTCAGCCTTGGCAAGTTACTCCGAGTCCATAAAATGTGGGACTACAACAGTGAATGACATGTACCGTAAACTGGACGGAGTCGCAAAGGCTGCAAAAGAAATAGGTATTAGAGCCGTACTGTGTAACGATGTTGCTTTGGCAGAACATAATCTTGACAGTCTTCAAGACAATATTGATACGTTCCATCGTCATCATAATACTGCAGAAGGTCGGATCGAAGTACGATTAGGAATCGAATGGTTGCCATTGTCGTCGCCAGAGCAATTACGTGAAACGCGGCAGTTAGCCAATGAACTCGGTATAGGCATTCACATTCATCTGAATGAATCACTTACAGAGGTTGAAGATAGTGTGAAACGTTTTGGAAAACGACCTACAGAAGTGGCGTACGAAGCGGGACTTCTCGGTCCGGATTGCATAGCTGCCCATTGTGTACATCTTGATGATCACGAAATATCTCTTATGGCCCGCACCGGGACAAATATCTCTCACAATCCAGTCTCCAATGCTAAGCTCGGTAACGGTATTGCTCGATTACCAGAAATGCTTGCTGCAGGACTAAACATCGGTCTTGGACATGATGCAGCCGAATGCAATAATTCTCGGGACATGTTCGAAGTAATGAAATTTGCTTCCCTCATACATCGTGCTTCTCGTAAAGACGCTTCTCTTGGACAGGCTCCTGATATTGTACGAATGGCAACAAAAAATGGCAGTAAAGCTCTCAGACATTCAACGGGTCAACTCATCCCGGGTTATAAAGCAGATATTATTCTCATTAATTTGAATGATGTAGTGTTCACACCTTTGAAGCCTGATTCAGTTGCACAGCTTCTCAGTCATCTTGTTTTTGCTGCGAATGGAAGTTGTGTCAACACCACCATCATTAACGGACAGATTGTCATGCGTGATCGAAAACTACTCACAGTCGATGAGAATCTTGTGGTAACGGAAGCAAATAAAGCATTTTTGAGAATATTAAAACAGATGGAATAATTTATTTTCGACTCAATTTCTATCGTATATGCGTGCTAAAACTAATAATGGTTGACATAAATATAAAATAATTATAATGCTCTTCTCTAATTCTATTGTATTTAACCTTTTTGATCTTAGATGGAGCAACAGTTTATAAAAGTACTGCTTCATCCCCAATAAACTTGAAAATTGTGAAATACTGTTGTCCAAAGTATACAAGTAAATAGCCCATCCATTGGAGTGTATTTTTTATCAAATGAATCTAAAAGCGTTCTTTCGATTTTTTACATGCCACGATCATTGCTCACTGTGCCCTTACTATACACTGTTAAAAATCTTTGTTCTTCTGCTCTTTGGAGAATATACTGAAAAACTTAAATGTGTTCTCTGAAAAATTAAGAACAAAATATGTTCTTTAGCTCATTTTTGTACTTCAGCCGGTTTTTATTCTTCAAAATACGAGTTCTTCGTTTTTGTGAAGAACATAAAACTAATTTTGCTCTTCAGAGAATAAAAGTCCACGGTCCATAACACAGAATGATGAAATGTGCACCGATATTAAAATTGATTCGAGACGATGGAGGTGAGAAAATGGTGTCGAAACAAATATCACAGGCAAACAGAAAATTAAAAAAAATAAGTTCATTTCTCAAAGCTGCTTTTAGTGTCCAACTTGACTAACTGACAAATTTTGTGAAGTTTAATTAGGATGTTTAGCTTTTTACGGCCGTCTCTGTAAGATTTCCTTTGTCCAGGTGATTTTGTTGCGATTTTTATTTTTAACAGTAGTCTGTATAGATTTAGAAAGCTGATCAACTATAAGCTTTCTCGTGGTTAGGATGGATTCTACTGGGTGTCCTAAAATGTTTGCAACATTTTTTATTTTGCATATATCTCAGCACAGAAAAATAATAAAATCTTGCATTTCTAAAAGACGCACAATTCAATTCTCTACAAATTTCTATTTACCTTAACTTAAAATAATGGAACTGAACGTTCCTATCGGTCACGTGTGATCCATAACATCTCAGCTCAGATACAATCCATATTTTAATAAAGTACCTCAGTTGAGAAATCAATATTTGTGCGAAATATTCGTTTCTCAACTG